ATCAAAGAAACAGAGATTTGCTGAAGCATTAGACACAATGACCCATCTTTCAGGACAAGCCATAAACAACAATCATTTCAGAAACAAGGAAGTTAAATTAATACATAAATTACCTGAAACCTGTTCCATTCTGGACTTAGAGGAAGAATGCCTTGGTTTGCTGGATATACCACTGGTACGAAAGGAGCTGTCTCATTCGATGCTCGTGGTGAAGACCAAGAAGACACTGGTGAATAGGAGGCACTTTGTACTGGAGCAGATCCACCATTGTTGTATCCAAGGGAAGGATTGTTTCCAGTCATTGTAGTAGGATCAGGATGATGAAACCTGCAATTGGATCCATACTTGCAGGACCCAGTGCGCATGTAGAAGGGGCAATCCTTCTCTCCCTGAAATGAAGATAAATCCCTTAAGGACATAATTCTCAAATTCAAAAAGGTTCTGAATGACAGCAAGGAGCATTACCTGTCGAATTGGCAGGCCAAGAAAGTTAAAATCCAGAACAGGTGAGATTGCACCATTTCTCTTACTATGACTATATTTACAGGCATTTCCATACTTGCACCCTCCTCCTGTTAGGTAATACTGCAAGATTAACGAAAAAGAAAAAAATTTAGCCAAAAAGGAAATATGCCACCTTCAATACAGTATAGAAGCTTTAAGAACTTATAAGTTATAACAGAGCCAAGAAGGAAAATATGTGAAAGGCATAAAAACTATTTTTTCCCACACATCCATAGTAGAGACACGCGTGGAAACAACTTAACAACTACTCTCACAATTGTGTCAGCAACTTAAGAGGACTCAATTGTATAAGTCAGAATCTTAGCATTGACAATTAAGAGGCAAATTCCAGTTACAGCACAACGCAAACGAGAGAAGCATCTTGATGCATACATATAGGCAAGGTCATCACATAGAGGTCCTAAATATCACCATAGAGAGAATTAACAACACTAAATGAAATAACATGTAAAAACTGTAGTAATCAGTCGATGTCTGATCAGTTTAGTTCTACAAATCTATCCACGAAAACACAGGACAAAGAAAGATGGATTGCTTACTGATAAAAAAGAAAAAAGATGTATCATTGAGCAGTGTCAGTTCAACTTTATGCATGAACTCATTCCACAACTAAAATACTAAATTATGCATGTTGCACTTAAAATAGCTCCTCGAATACAACTTTTTTCTCCTTCACCTAGAAATCTATGACTATTTTATTTTTGAAAACCATGGTGTCCGGGTCATCTTGCACGTACTTCGACTAATTCCACGGAATAGTTGCTGCCTCCTACAAGGATAGGTACCTCATGATTCTATCCACTAAGGCTCGAAAAGATGGGAAGAACTCAGCTAGTGTTTTTTGTTTCCACTGGGACTTAAACCTAAGACCTTGTGGTTCTCTTGACCAATAGGCCACACCCTTGGGTGCAAACCTATGGCCTTCTTATCAGTCCATTACATTCTACCATTATGCAACTGAAAGTCACTATTCTAACAAATGTATATGAGAAAAGCAGTCAAAATTAAAGGAAATTCCATGATCCCTTCTGCTATAGATTCAGTAAGTGAAGGAAATGACTAGAACTACCTACTTAAAAAAAGGAAGAGCTTACATGCACCACGGGTGGGTTCTCCCTCAGAAATTACCAGTACTTCATTATAAAACACTATGGTCAAAAGTAAAACTTTTAGTTTCTCAAACTAGATTAATTATGACAATTTGCTATTTTCTCCTCATCATCTTCTGAGGAGCAGGGGATAAGAAACAAGTTTTGAAATACATGAGTTTTGTTCTAATCTAGTAAAAAGGTAATTTCATTGAAATGAAGGGAAGAAAAAATCCCGTATGCAAGTAGTATACCAAAAAGTAGAGAAACCTACAAAGATTTTAAACCATGCTTATTGGTAATGCAACCTTACTGTATTAAGCCAAACTAGTTCAGTAACCCAATAATGTCAGATTGCAATGGTCATGCAGCCAAATCACAAGATAACAGCTTGATCAATTTGACTATCCATATAAACCAGAAATGTAGAACAGATTTTTACCATAAATTGTCTCTCATGTGTTTCTGGCATAAATTAAATGGTAGATATTAGGTGCATGTTAATAAACAAGTTTATCAGTTGATATCAAAGAGGCTGTATTTCATAAAGCACTAACATTTGTTTTTTACATTATGATACTCGATATTCAACATCAAACCAAATTAGTCAAAAGATGAAGCATAGAAGAAACAAAGATTTTCCTCGTCTCATGCTTTTAACTATGATAAATTTCATAACCTTGCATTCAATCAGCCCTGCTCTTTCCTCACTTTCATCCCTTTGCTTGCCCTTCTCCATTGCCCACTGTTGAAGAGGTCACAAACGAACTCAATATAGTAAGCATCACAAAAGTATTTAGGATCTAAGTTCTAACCTAAGCATATGAACAGTAGTAATGGAAAAAAGACCACCACAAAGATCAACATAACCTCCAGATAGTCATCCTATTAATCCACCTCACATATAGATGTCAAGTAAAACTCACTACTTTACAGAGAACAATAATGCCAATGATAGATGATATTATGGATTCTTTAACAACACATATCAATGCATGATTTATCATGCCCCTTAAGTGCCAACAACTAACTATGAAGCAGCCCTCAGTTAGCTTGCACCTCAAGCCCATCATTACTTCAGAAGTGTAGCAACAACTACTACACTCAATCTCAAACTAGTCATGTGAATCCTTTAACACCATTTGGGCCCATTTCATCCCTATTACTTTAAAAGTCCACTATGCACAAGAAAAAAACTTAATAATCCCGTAATTAAACAAACAAAACAGTAGAACATCACAATCCTCTACTATTAATAAGATTCATCCACAACATTTCTTTTATTTAACAACACCATTCATTCAATCCACAAAACATAGAATAAGTACAGCTAAAGCCACTTCAAACCCATGACATTATACCTGGTTTTGTCTTCGGGAAGGGTGATTAAACTTGCAATTCAATCCATATTGACATGTCCCTGTTTTCATATAATAAGCACAATCCACAGCATCAGGCCTTAACGGGTAATTCAACCTCCTCCCATTCGCATTAAATCCCCATTCTTTTGAACCCGCCTTACTACCGTTCTCATTTGTCACATCAATTCCATTTCCGCTCCAACTAAGGTCACCATCTTCATAGTGATCAAATCCCCATTCCTTTGAACCAACCTCACCACCTTTCTCATTTTCCACATCAACCACAATTCCACTTTCGCTCCAACTATAGTCACCATCTTCATAGTGATCAAATCCCCATTCCCTTGAAACCACTTCACCACCTTTCTCATTTTTCACATCAATCACATTTTCATTTTCGCTCCAACCAGCACCATCTTCATAATGATTACCACCGTACTCATTTCCCACTTCGTCTCTTCCATTTCCTTCATGAATATCTCCTTTAGCTCTCTCTTCACTGAATGCCTGATTTACCACCAGATTCTTAAGCTCTTCAACTATCATTTGCACATCTTTTTCATCTTCACTCTCAGATTTTGCCTTAATAGATTCATAAACACCTCCTTTTGTTCTCTCTTCACTGAACGCCTGGTTCAACACCAGATTCTGAAGTTCCTCAAAAATGATTCGCAGCAACATCTCATCATCATCATCAACGTCGTTTTCCTCAGCTTTTGGGAGATCCCGACTAGGGTTTTGAAGATTGGGTTCCGATGAAAATGACGCCGCTTCGGGAGGTTGAGGATCAAACCCTAAATACTGTTTATCAAGTGTAGGTTGGTTTAGGTTATGCATGTATAGTGATTGAATGGCTTCCATTGCTTTGTTTTGCCTCCGAATTTCAAAATGTAAAACCCTGATTCTCCATTTTCAGTCGAGGGAAGCAGTGTGGGCGAAATGAACAATGGCCAAAACAAGTCCAAATCAACGACGATTGTGAGTTTGTGACCCCAGTACTTTTTTTATATCGCCTTTTTTCCCCTTTTCATTTTCTTAAAGACAAATGTCTCTATTTTAGAGTTGTGTATTTAATTTTTGACCTTTAAATCAGTGTTTTTTTTATTTAAAAAAATGGCCCTTTTAAAACACTTTTAAGTACTAATAAAATATTGGTGAAAATATCATTCACAAGGCAAAAGTTAATCACAAAGCAAAAAATATATATTTTCGTATGACAATATAGCACAAGTTATAATTTACAAGGTAAAATAAATTATGCCGTTTAATTTCTATATAATTTATGGAATTAGAGGTAAAAATTTAGTTTCAAAATTCATAAAGTTATATAAGGCAAGACAAATATTTAAAACTTTTTAGGCTACAACTAATTTTTTTTTTGACCCACCCCGAAATAGGGGAAATCCATGCGAGAACTAATAATGTAACGCATGATGGGTTTTCTTGAGTTGGATTGGGTCATAATTTATTATAAGCTTGAAAATAATGTTAGGAGCAAATCTGGTTCAGTAAGAGTAAGAACATTTTTTTGAACCATTTTTAATATAATTAGAGCATTTTTATTTGGTATGTTAAAGGAAAAATATATTGAATCATTTCTAATAGGTAAGATTTTTTTTTTAATGTATATAAATTGCTAGGTATGTGGAATATAATCATCAAAGATGATGGAGTTAGTGAAATTTTGAATTAGTATTAATTTACAGTAGCGAATATCGAAAACCAAATGAGATTTGGGAGTTAGTGAAATTTTTCAATACAAATTAGTATTATTGAATACCAAATGAAAAGCCAAAAAATAAAGTGCAAGCAATAAGTTGGTTGATGGTACACTTCACGCAAAGTCTCTTTATTTCACGCGGTTGAACTTTCCCACGTACATTCCCCACTATTTCCCTATTTTTCCGTCTCCTTTTTGTTTTACTAGTTTTTCGGCATCAAATTATGAAGTACACGTTTCAATAAAATAATATGTAAGATAAAGAATAGGGAAAGGGGTCAAAAATACCCCCCAACTTTGGTTTATTGTTTGACTTTACCCTCGCCGTTAAAATGAAGTTAATCGTACCCCTCCCGTTACTAATTTCACCAAAATTACCCCTCATTTAGACGGAATCCCCAAAATTGATCCAAATTGACCCAATTACCCGGATTTTAAAAAAAAACACCCTAATCCCTAAATTTAAC